AGTTGGGAAAACTCAAAGTGATGCAGGTATCAGACGTTTACCACTTTGATGAAACCCACGAGCACGTATAAGGTGCTGACAAACCTCGATATGTAATCGGGTCGAACCGTGATTCGAACCCACGATTTTCGGTTTCAGGCGCACCAAAGGGACGCACAGATAAGTGCGTCTCCTAAGACTTCTGGTTCACCCATCTTGATAAAGATTTATACGTATCGAGCTACATTATAGAATGATTCCTCTAGGGCTACACCATACAAAGAATCCTCTAGGGCTACATCATACAAAGATTCATCTAGGGCTACATCATACAAAGATTCCTCTTTGGCTACGTCATACAAAGATTCCTCTAGGGCTACATCATACAAAGATTCATCTTTGGCTTCGTCATACAATGATTCCTCTAGGGCTACATCATACAAAGATTCCTCTAGGGCTACATCATACAAAGATTCCTCTAGGGCTACATCATACAAAGATTCCTCTAGGGCTACATTAAACAACTATTCCTCTATGCAATGATTCCCCAAGGGCTTCATTATGTACGGATCATTCCTCTAAGACTACATCATACAGTGATTCCTATGGGCCTACATTATACAATTATGCCTACAGGGCAACATTATACAATTATTCCATTTGTGCTAAATTATACAATGGTACCACTCTGGCTATATAATGCAATGAATCCCTTGAGCTACATTATACAATGCTTCCACTAGGGCGACACTGCACAATGATACCGCCTTGGTTTATATTATTCAATGATTCCCTTGAGCTACATTATACAATGCTTCCACTAGGGCGACACTGCACAATGATACCGCCTTGGTTTATATTATTCAATGATTCCCTTGAGCTACATTATACAATTAATATAATAGTGCTACATCATGCACTGATTCCTATTGGCTACATTATACAAAGATACCTATAAGACTACATTATTTTAATGATTCCTATTGGGCTACATTATTCCATGATTCCTATTGGGCTACATTATTCAATGATTCCTATTGGCTACATTATTCAATGATTCCTATTGGCTACATTATACAAAGATTCACATTAGGCTACATCATACACTGATTCCTATTGGCTACATTATACAAAGATACCTATAAGACTACATTATTTTAATGATTCCTATTGGGCTACATTATTCCATGATTCCTATTGGGCTACATTATTCAATGATTCCTATTGGCTACATTATTCAATGATTCCTATTGGCTACATTATACAAAGATTCACATTGGGCTACATCATACACTGATTCCTATTGGCTACATTATACAAAGATACCTATAAGACTACATTATTTTAATGATTCCTATTGGGCTACATTATTCCATGATTCCTATTGGGCTACATTATTCAATGATTCCTATTGGCTACATTATTCAATGATTCCTATTGGCTACATTATACAAAGATTCACATTGGGCTACATCATACACTGATTCCTATAGGCCTACATTATACAAAGATACCTATAAGACTACATTATTTAAATGATTCCTATTGGGCTACATTATTCAATGATTCCTTTTGGGCTACATCATACACTGATTCCTATTGGCTACATTATACAAAGATACCTATAAGACTACATTATTTTAATGATTCCTATTGGGCTACATTATTCCATGATTCCTATTGGGCTACATTATTCAATGATTCCTATTGGCTACATTATTCAATGATTCCTATTGGCTACATTATACAAAGATTCACATTGGGCTACATCATACACTGATTCCTATTGGCTACATTATACAAAGATACCTATAAGACTACATAATTTTAATGATTCCTATTGGGCTACATTATTCAATGATTCCTATTGGGCTACATTATTCAATGATTCCTATTGGCTACATTATTCAATGATTCCTATTGGCTACATTATACAAAGATTCACATTGGGCTACATCATACACTGATTCCTATAGGCCTACATTATACAAAGATACCTATAAGACTACATTATTTAAATGATTCCTATTGGGCTACATTATTCAATGATTCCTTTTGGGCTACATTATTCTATGATTCCTATTGGCTACATTATTCAATGATTCCTATTGGCTACATTATACAAAGATTCACATTGGGCTACATCATACACTGATTCCTATAGGCCTACATTATACAAAGATACATATAAGACTACATTATTTAAATGATTCCTATTGGCTACATTATTCAATGATTCCTATTAGGCTACATTATACAATTATTCCTATTGACCTACATTATACAAATATTTTTTTGGGCCGGGGGAGGGGGTTACATTAAACAATGATTCCTGCTGGGCTACATTATACAAAGATTCCAGCAGAGCAACATCATACATCATTCTTCGAGGGCTACATTATACAAAGGTTCCTATTGAACGACATTATATAATTATTCCCCCGGGCCTTCATGATACAAATATTCCTATATGACTACACAACACAATGATTCCCTTTTGGCGACAGTAAACAATGATTGCTACAGGGATACATTATACAATGATTCCTGCAGAAGAACATAATACAATGATTCCTGGAGGGCTATATTGTACAATGCTTCCTCAAAGGCTACATTATACAAAGATCTCCATACGACTACATCATACAGCAATTCCTGCATTATATTACACTTATTCCCTTAGGGCTGCATTATACAAAGATTTCCATACGACTACATCAAACAGCAATACCTGGGTTATATTACACTTATTCCCCTAGGGCTACATTATACAAAGATCTCCACACGACTACATCACACAGCAATTCCTGCATTATATTACACTTATTCCTCTAGGGCTGCATTATACAAAGATCTCCATACGACTACATCATATAGCAATTCCTGCATTATATAACACTTATTCCTCTAGGGCTGCATTATACAAAGCTCTCCATACGACTACATCATACAGCAATTCCTGGGTTATATTACACTTATTCTCCTAGGGCTGCATTATACAAAGATCTCCATACGACTACATCACACAGCAATTCCTGGGTTATATTACCCTTATTCCTCTAGGGCTGCATTATACAAAGATCTCCATACGACACCACACAGCAATTCCTGGGTTATATTACCCTTATTCTTCTAGGGCTGCATTATACAAAGATCTCCACACGACTACATCACACAGCAATTCCTGCATTATATAACACTTATTCCTCTAGGGCTGCATTATACAAAGCTCTCCATACGACTACATCTATACAGCAATTCCTGGGTTATATTACACTTATTCCTCTAGGGCTGCATTATACAAAGATCTCCATACGACTACATCATACAGCGATCCCTGCATTATATTACACTTATTCCTCTAGGGCTGCATTATACAAAGCTCTCCATACGACTACATCATACAGAAATCCCTGCATTATATAACACTTATTCCTCTAGGGCTGCATTATACAAAGCTCTCCATACGACTACATCATACAGAAATCCCTGCATTATATTACACTTATTCCTCTAGGGCTGCATTATACAAAGATCTCCATACGACTACATCATACAGAAATCCCTGCATTATATAACACTTATTCCTCTAGGGCTGCATTATACAAAGCTCTCCATACGACTACATCATACAGAAATCCCTGCATTATATTACACTTATTCCTCTAGGGCTGCATTATACAAAGATCTCCATACGACTACATCATACAGAAATCCCTGCATTATATAACACTTATTCCTCTAGGGCTGCATTATACAAAGCTCTCCATACGACTACATCATACAGAAATCCCTGCATTATATTACACTTATTCCTCTAGGGCTGCATTATACAAAGATCTCCATACGACTACATCATACAGAAATCCCTGCATTATATAACACTTATTCCTCTAGGGCTGCATTATACAAAGCTCTCCATACGACTACATCATACAGAAATCCCTGCATTATATTACACTTATTCCTCTAGGGCTGCATTATACAAAGATCTCCATACGACTACATCATACAGAAATCCCTGCATTATATAACACTTATTCCTCTAGGGCTGCATTATACAAAGCTCTCCATACGACTACATCATACAGAAATCCCTGCATTATATTACACTTATTCCTCTAGGGCTGCATTATACAAAGATCTCCATACGACTACATCATACAGAAATCCCTGCATTATATAACACTTATTCCTCTAGGGCTGCATTATACAAAGCTCTCCATACGACTACATCATACAGAAATCCCTGCATTATATTACACTTATTCCTCTAGGGCTGCATTATACAAAGATCTCCATACGACTACATCATACAGAAATCCCTGCATTATATAACACTTATTCCTCTAGGGCTGCATTATACAAAGATACATTCTTGGCTACATAAATCAATGATCCCTGCAAGGCAACACAATGCAATGAGTCCAACATGGCTTAAGCATAGAAATGACTTCAATATGGTAACAGCGTTGAATGATTCAATATAGATTCAGCATTGCATGATTCCTGCAGGGAAACACCGTTGAGTTGAGAAACCCTACGCTCCCAAAACCGGGGGCACGGGTGGCCCAGTCGCCAAATGCGCCGCGATTCGCTTTGCAGAGTTGCGTCCCTTGGCACGCCAGAAACCTATGATTGTGGGTTCGAATCCCGGTTCGCCCCTATAATGTTTCTAGGTTTGTCAGCACCATACCCGTGCTCGTGGGTTTCACCGAAGTGGTAAACGTCTGAGACCTGCATCGCTTCGGGCTTTCCTCCCACATTAAGCTGACACGCCGTGATATAACTGGAATACTGTTAAAAGCGGCGTTGAACCCAACTCACTTACTCACTCCATTCCAAAACCGTATAATTAACTTACCAAACCGACTCTCAAAACCCTATCATCTACTCATTGGGCCTCGTATACTGAATAAAAACCTCTCACCCACAATCTTTCTCACACAACCCGCCATACTCTAGCCCTACTGGTTGTCTCTTACAACCCTGTCTGTCTCTCTTTCTCCCTCCCGCCTTACCTGACGGGAGACACGGTACCATCAGGAAATGTTCCATCTCTATCATCTTCAGGGCCAATCTGTTGAAGGGTGGGTAAGAGGTCGTTGCGGCCAATCTTCAGAAAAGCCTGAGTCAGGAGTAAAGTTTTGCCATGCTGTATTAACCTTTTCTCTTTTAAAGGTGTAAATATACCAAGAGCATCCGAAATCTTATCAAGTTTGTTTGGGGGGAGTAAATCTTTAAACATATATTTCAGGGCATTCAGGTCATCAGTGGCAATGTGTGAAGCAATCTCCATAAGCAATGCATTAAAAGTTGGTTCAGGAGCTGCATCTGTCTCTATGGTGGCCATTGTTGAATTTCACAAGACGGATTACCGTTCTGCTGAGTCAACCTGAAATGAAAAAGAATAGTGAATGAGTCCCATAGGACAAACTTCACTGTAGAAAGATTCATATAGGGCAACACTGTAATAATAATAATAAGAAGAAGAAGAAGAAGAAGAAGTGCATTTATAATGCGCTAAGTGGATGCTCATAGCGCTACACTATTATTACCCCGGTCAATGGATCAGTGAGCCCTCGATTTTCATTCTCATCTCCCTGAGGAGTATACAACCCAAACTGCCTGTGAGGCGCTAGAAGGTTAACAGCCACATTAGCATCCTAATTCCTATAGGACAAGCTACACTGTGGAACGGTACATACAGGGAAACACGACAGAATAATCCGCGTAAGGCAACACTGTAAAAAGACAACAGTATAATATAGTTCCTATGGGGGAGCAATAAAGAATGATACGTGGATAAAAACCTGATCCATTCTTTCAGATGTAATAATCTGTTTATGTGTTGATAACTGCAATATGAACGGCAATACGATCGCGATATATCTATTGTAGTGTCCGTCTGAGGTCTAGAATGTTATGTTGTATAGACGAATAGTCGTGTTACAGGCAGCACGCTTAATGTAATGTATTGTACTGTCGTGCAGTATTATCACTATTATGGTAATTAAGGTTGCCTTAAAATTGCTATGTTTCGTTTTCAGAGCAAATAAGTATATATATATCGTCATTTTTAACTAATGCTTAAATCCAGAAACCAGATGAAGTTCAATTTCCCACACTGAGTGACGATATGGCCTGTATTCAGTTTCTAATAACTTCTTAAAACAATGTCAGTTTAATATCACTATTAGAAAGATCAGGATTGAAACTTTTGTTCAATTGAAGAAAATCAGTGTGTGGCCATAATTGAGCATAATGTTAAACTGACTGATGTGAAAACTATTAATAGACATAATATAGCGACAATGCGGAAATATTACTTTCCTACTGTTGACATCTGCAGGACACGACTGTGAGGTCGTATGACGGGTTGTTAGAATGGCTGTTGGGGAATTACTCACACAAAATCTGTTTCATATAAACTCAAATAAGGCACACTCCATACACACTAAACTATGAAGTAAGCGACTGCTAATAACGTTGTTTAACAAACAAACACAACCCGGAAGTTGATGCACATAATAGTTTCCTTACCACAAGTTATATAATCATATTTTGCTTTGTGCATGGGCGTCATATAACAGATAATCGCTGCCCACTTTCTCTACTCTGTTCCCTGCCTACTTTCTCCGACCTGTTACCTGCCCACTTTCTCCGACCTGTTCCCTGCCCACTTTCTCCACTCTGTTCGCTGCCCCCTCTCTTCGATCTGTTCGCTGCCCACTCTCTCCGCTCTGTTCGCTGCCAACTTTCTCCACTTTGGTTGCTGCTAACTCTCTCCCCTTTGTTCGCTGCCCACTCTCTCCACTCTGTTCGCTGCCTACTTTCTCCACTCTGTTTGCTGTCCACTTTCTCCACTCTGTTCACTGCCAACTTTCTCCCTCTGTTCGCTGCCAACTTTCTCTACTCTGTTCGCTGCCCATTCTCTCTGCTCTGTTCGCTGCCTACTTTCTCCTCTCTGTTCGCTGCCCGTTCTCTCCACTCCGTTTGCTGCCAACATTCTCAACTTTATTGGCTGCCCACTTTCTCTACTCTGTTTCCTGCCCACTCTCTCCGCTCTGTTCGCTGCCTACTTTCTCCTCTTTGTTCGCTGCCCATTCTCTCCACTCTGTTTGCTGCCAACATTCTCAACTTTATTGGCTGCCCACTTTCTCTACTCTGTTCCCTGCCTACTTTCTCCGACCTGTTCCCTGCCCACTTTCTCCACACTGTTCGCTGCCCCCTCTCTTCGATCTGTTCGCTGCCCACTTTCTCCGCTCTGATGGCTGCCCACTTTTTCCCCTCTGTTCGCTGCCCACTTTCTCCACACTGTTCGCTGCCCACTTTCTCTACGCTGTTTGCTGCCCACTCTCTCCGCTCTGATGGCTGCCCACTTTTTCCCCTCTGTTCGCTGCCCACTTTCTCCACACTGTTCGCTGCCCACTTTCTCCACTCTGTTCGCTGCCCACTCTCTCCGCTCTGTTCGCTGCCAACTTTCTCCACTTTGGTTGCTGCTATCTCTCTCCCCTTTGTTCGCTGTCCACTTTCTCTACTCTGTTCGAGGCCCACTTTCTCTTCTCTGTTCGCTGCTCACTCTCTCTGCTCTGTTCGCTGCCCATTTCTCTGCTCTGTTTGCTGCCCACTCTCTCCACTCTGTTCACTGCCCACTTTCTCCCTCTGTTCGCTGCCCACTTTCTCCACTCTGTTCGCTGCCCACTCTCTCTGCTCTGTTCGCTGCCCACTTTCTCTGCTCTGTTCACTGCCTACTTTCTCCACTTTGTTTGCTGCCCACTTTCTCCACTCTGTTCACTGCCAACTTTCTCCCTCTGTTCGCTGCCAACTTTCTCTACTCTGTTCGCTGCCCACTCTCTCTGCTCTGTTCGCTGCCTACTTTCTCCTCTCTGTTTGCTGCCCATTCTCGCCACTCTGTTTGCTGCCAACATTCTCAACTTTATTGGCTTCCCACGTTCTCCGCTCTGTTCACTGCCAACTCTCTGTGCTCTCTTCACTGCCCACTTCCTCAACATTCTCAACTTTATTGGCTGCCCACTTTCTCCACTCTGTTTCCTGCCAACTATCTCGGCTCTATTCACTGCCCACTTTCCCTGCTCTGTTCGCTGCCCACTTTCTCCACTCTGTTCACTGCCCGCTTTCTCGGCTCTGTTCGCTGCCCACTTTCTCTACTCTGTTCGCTGCCCACTCTTTCCACTCTGTTCGCTGCCCACTTTCTCCTCTCTGTTCGCTGCCCATTCTCTCCGCCCTGCTCGCTGCCAACATTCTCAACTTTATTGACATCTGCAGGACACGACTGTGAGGTCGTATGACGGGTTGTTAGAATGGCTGTTGTGGAATTACTCACACAAAATCTGTTTCATATAAACTCAAATAAGGCACACTCCATACACACTAAACTATGAAGTAAGCGACTGCTAATAACGTTGTTTAACAAACAAACACAACCCGGAAGTTGATGCACATAATAGTTTCCTTACCACAAGTTATATAATCATATTTTGCTTTGTGCATGGGCGTCATATAACAGATAATCGCTGCCCACTTTCTCTACTCTGTTCCCTGCCTACTTTCTCCGACCTGTTACCTGCCCACTTTCTCCGACCTGTTCCCTGCCCACTTTCTCCACTCTGTTCGCTGCCCCCTCTCTTCGATCTGTTCGCTGCCCACTCTCTCCGCTCTGTTCGCTGCCAACTTTCTCCACTTTGGTTGCTGCTAACTCTCTCCCCTTTGTTCGCTGCCCACTCTCTCCACTCTGTTCGCTGCCTACTTTCTCCACTCTGTTTGCTGTCCACTTTCTCCACTCTGTTCACTGCCAACTTTCTCCCTCTGTTCGCTGCCAACTTTCTCTACTCTGTTCGCTGCCCATTCTCTCTGCTCTGTTCGCTGCCTACTTTCTCCTCTCTGTTCGCTGCCCGTTCTCTCCACTCTGTTTGCTGCCAACATTCTCAACTTTATTGGCTTCCCACGTTCTCCGCTCTGTTCACTGCCAACTCTCTGTGCTCTCTTCACTGCCCACTTCCTCAACATTCTCAACTTTATTGGCTGCCCACTTTCTCCACTCTGTTTCCTGCCAACTATCTCGGCTCTATTCACTGCCCACTTTCCCTGCTCTGTTCGCTGCCCACTTTCTCCACTCTGTTCACTGCCCGCTTTCTCGGCTCTGTTCGCTGCCCACTTTCTCTACTCTGTTCGCTGCCCACTCTTTCCACTCTGTTCGCTGCCCACTTTCTCCTCTCTGTTCGCTGCCCATTCTCTCCGCCCTGCTCGCTGCCAACATTCTCAACTTTATTGGCTGCCCACTTTTTCCACTCTGTTCACTGCCCCCTCTCTCCGCTCTGTTCGCTGCCCACTATCTCCGCTCTGTTCCCTGCCCACTTTCGCCACTCTGTTCACTGCCCACTTTCTCCACTCTGTTCACTGCCCACTTTCTCCGCTCTGTTCACTGCCAAATCACTCCACTCTGTTCCCTGCCCACTCTCTCCGCTGCCCTCTTTCTCCACTCTGTTCCCTGCCCACTCCCATCTCTTTGCTGTCCACTTTCTCCACTCTGTTCGCTGCCCGCTCTATCCGATCTCTTTGCTGCCCTCTTTCCCTGCTCTGTTCGCTGCCCACTGTCTCCACTCTGTTTGCTGCCCGCTTTCTTGGCTCTGTTCGCTGCCCGCTTTCTCGGCTCTGTTCGCTGCCCACTTTCTCTACTCTGTTCGCTGGCCACACTTTCCACTGTTCGCTGCCCGCTTTCTCCGCTCTGCTCGCTGCCAACATTCTCAACTTTATTGGATGCCCACTTTTTCCACTCTGTTCGCTGCCCCCTCTCTCCGCTCTGTTCGCTGCCCACTTTCTCTGTTCTGTTTGCTGCCCACTTTCGCCACTCTGTTCACTGCCCACTTTCTCCACTCTATTCACTGCCCACTCTCTCCACTCTGTTCACTGCCCACTTTCTCCGCTCTGTTCACTGCCCACTCACTCCACTCTGTTCGCTGCCCACTTTCTCCACTCTGTTCCCTGCCCACTCTCTCCGCTGTCCTCTTTCTCCACTCTGTTCCCTGCCCACTCTATCTGATCTCTTTGCTGTCCACTTTCCCTGCTCTGTTCGCTGCCCACTTTCTCCACTCTGTTTGCTGCCAGCTTTCTCAGCTCTGTTCGCTGCCTGCTTTCACGGCTCTGTTCGCTGCCCACTTTCTCTACTCTGTTCGCTGGCCACACTTTCCACTGTTCGCTGCCCGCTTTCTCGGCTCTGTTCGCTGCCCACTTTCTCTTCTCTGTTCCCTGCCCACTCTTTCCACTGTTCGCTGCCCGCTTTCTCCGCTCTGCTCGCTGCCAACATTCTCAACTTTATTGGATGCCCACTTTTTCCACTCTGTTCGCTGCCCCCTCTCTCCGCTCTGTTCGCTGCCCACTTTCTCTGTTCTGTTTGCTGCCCACTTTCGCCACTCTGTTCACTGCCCACTTTCTCCACTCTGTTCACTGCCCACTCTCTCCGCTCTGTTCGCTGCCAACTTTCTCCACTTTGGTTGCTGTCCACTTTCTCTACTCTGTTCGAGGCCCACTTTCTCTTCTCTGTTCGCTGCTCACTCTCTCTGCTCTGTTCGCTGCCCATTTCTCTGCTCTGTTTGCTGCCCACTCCCTCCTCTCTGTTCACTGCCCACTTTCTCCCTCTGTTCGCTGCCCACTTTCTCCACTCTGTTCGCTGCCCACTCTCTCTGCTCTGTTCGCTGCCCACTTTCTCTGCTCTGTTCACTGCCCACTTTCTCCACTGTGTTCACTGCCAACTTTCTCCCTCTGTTCGCTGCCAACTTTCTCTACTCTGTTCGCTGCCCTCTCTCTGCTCTGTTCGCTGCCTACTTTCTCCTCTCTGTTCGCTGCCAACATTCTCAACTTTATTGGCTGCCCACTTTCTCCACTCTGTTCGCTGCCCACTATATCGGGACAAAGGATTATACTTGTTGTTACCCTGCCGGGGGCACGGGTGGCCCAGTCGTCTAAGGCGCCGCGATTCGTTGTGCAGTTGCGTCCCTTGGGCACGCCAGAAACCTATGATTGTGGGTTCGAATCCCGGTTTGCCCCGATTTTGTTTCTAGGTTTGTCAGCACCAAACCTTTGCATACCGAAGTGGTAAACGTGTGAGACCTGCATCACTTGGGCTTTCCTCTCACTCACTCACTCACTCACTCACTGTTTTATATGCCAGACGCTCGGCATTTAGGAGAAAAAATAAGGACTGTCCGTCCCAGAGTCTGTATAATGTGTCTGAGTGGAGTATCCATATTAAACTGGCACATGGTATGTCAGTGGGCTGGCATTAGGACAGTACAATCAGATGAAAGATTGACAGATGCTTACTTGATAATGTTAAAAGATATTGTGACGCGTACATTATGTAGTTTGTTATCTTCTTATAACAATCGACAGGTATGCATATTGACTGTATCCATATAACTTTGTTATGCCTTTATGAGAATTGATTGGGAATTGGAGGTTCGTTCTTCAGTGTTCACATTTCATTTATTTTATTTTGATTTAACATTCACTGCAAGGACTTTGTTGTCACCACTGCATCGGCTGTCTCACTGCAAAGGAGAATAGACAGTGAAGATCCAGGTAGAGAATAGGTCTTCAGCAAACCCGCGTCCCCTAAGAGGCGACTATGCTTGTCGTAAGAGGCGACAAACGGGATCGGGTGGTCAGGCTTGCTGACTTGGTTGATGCACGTTATCGTATCCCAATTGCGTGGATCAATGCTCATGAAGTCAATCACTGGATTGTCTGGTCCAGACTCGATGACTTATAGACCACCGTCATACAGCTGGAACACTGCTGAGTGCCCAGTTAAACAAAGAAACAAAGCACAGAAACAAACAAAGGACAGTGGATTTTGTTATTTTCAACTTTTACTACAACAATAAATCCTAACTCAAATGTGAGACCTCATGTGTTTCTGCAGGTTTTTTGATTGAGCAAACGCTTTTACACAGTGATTACACTTATATGGGCGATCTCCAGTGTGACATCTCAAATGTTTCTGCAGGCCACTTGAATCTGAAAAGGCTTTCTCGCAAAAAGTACACTGATGAGGCTTTTCACCACTGTGACACCTCATGTGTCTCTGCAGGTCACCAGATGTAATAAAGGTTTTCTTGCACTCAAAGCACTGATAAGGCCGAACTCCACTGTGAAGTCGCACGTGTCTTTGAAGGTCACTTGAATTTGTAAATGCTTTCCCACACTCGTTACATGCATACGGCTTGACACCAGAGTGACTTCTCATGTGTGTCTGCAGGTTACCTGATTGTCTAAAAGATTTACCACATTCAGAACATTGATAGGGCCGGACTCCAGAATGACACATCATGTGTTTCTGAAGGTAGCTTGACAGTGGAAATGCCTTCCCACACTCAGTACATTCAAAAGGCTTGTCTCCGCTGTGACATCTCATATGTGCTTGTAGTTTACTTGGCCGTGTAAACGTCTTCTCACACTCGGTACACTGATGTGGCTTGACACCACTGTGACACCTCATGTGCGACGTCAGGTCACTTGATGTTATAAACGCCTTCCCACATTCGCCACACAGAAAAGGCTTGATTCCAGTGTGGCAACTCATGTGTCTCTGCAAATAACAGGATCGTGAAAACGTCTTCTCACACTCACTACATGAATAAGGTCTTACTCCACTGTGAAGTCTCGTGTGTCTTTGAAGGTCACTGGATTGTGTAAACGCTTTTCCACACTCACCACATGGAAAAGGCTTAATTCCACTGTGGTATTTCATGTGCATCTTAAGGTGACTTGAACTTTTAAATTCCTTCCCGCACTGGCCACACTGATATCGCCGGACTCCAGGCAAACCCTTCGTATGTTGCTGGGGTTCACATGTTTCCTTCAGTGCTCCCTCACATCCAGTGTTGCCCACATTTTCAGTTACATTGTTACCATGGTTACTGCTCTGTATCTGGTTTTCTATTTCCTTTCCAATGTCACAGCTAGTAACACCCTGAGTGTTCACTATGAACCTCAACTGAGCTGTCAGTTTTCCTCCATGCATCTTCTTCAGATGTTTCCACAGGAACACCCCAGATGGGAACTCCAGGTCACAGCCGTCGCATTGGTAGCTGTCTGGAATACATTCATAAAAACAATATGTAGGACTGGTGCATAAAACAGGTACTTGGACTTTTACAAGGGTACATTTCTGTCAAGAAAATGTGTGATGAGAAACATTCTGGTACCATCAGTATAAAGAATGATCATTTGGCTTCATTTTGCTCATACAGGACATTTTCCTTGATTTAGCAAAACATACACCAATTTCTCTATCAGTTTCTGAACTGATGTGTA